CACTTGGCCAGGCACTGAGAGAAAAGTGCACCATTCAGCTACAACATAAAATTTCTGCACCACGAGAATCAGTTTTTGGTGTGGTTGCTATTACATGAAATCTAAACATTCTAATTCTGATTAGATACCAGTGTAAAAGCTATTTTCATTTCTAACAAAATAGAGATGTTCACTGTAATTGTGATACTTAACACACTTGAGCTCACAAAAACATCTCTTCCTATTCTTGAGCATGCAGTTTGACCTGAGGCTCTCTTCAAACTGAATATTCCTTCAGTGATTAAACCCTTAGTCTCTGTGGAATATGGAAATATCTAATTAATAACAACTTTCTTTATTTTCTCTGGTTATTTTTAGCTTTTTCCTTGAACGTACACTCCCCTACCCGAGACTGCCACACATTAACTCCTGACAACTACTGCTGCTTCTCCTTCTGTCCATCCTAGTATTCCTAACATTTTTAGCTTAAGGTGAGTTTACCTGACACTTACTGGTGTAGAAAAGAGAAAAACAAAAGTCAAAAGACATTCATTCAGTCATCTATTCATTCAAACACTATACCATTTCCTATAGGCCAGGTACAGTTTTACAGACTGAGAATATAACAGTGAGCAAACAATAAAGACAATGTGCCTACCCCTAGGAGCAAATAACCTAGTGGGAGATACAAAAGAGCAGAGAGACAACTACATGATTATTGATGATCACCCTTACAATACAGGTTTTCAAGGTGGTAGGTAAGAGGTGCGAAGAAGGTGTGAGGATGGGAAGAAGTCAGGGAAGGCATTTAATATATCTCTAGGCTGTGTCCTGAAGTACGTACAGGCACTAACAAGACAGAAGCAAAGTATGCATCAAGCAGAAGAAATAACATGTACAAAAGCCATAGCTGGACCCATGGCTAGACCAAAACAGGTGGCATCCAAGACTGGATAATATTCTGGCACACTTCAAATTGATCTTCTTTAAACATTTGGTAAAGATCTGTTTTATGGGGTAGAGAAAAATTATTTTCTATTAATAAAAATTAAATATAGAAATGGGTTCCCTTTTTGATTCATTTCTACTAAACCAAAAGCATCATTCTTCTGGTAAAGATCAGAAAATGTTTCTAGTTCTTGACCTCTCCTGCCTTTTACTCAGTGATCCTTCTAGACCCCTTACTTCTCACAAGCCTACACAAAATAAAAAATGAAAATCTTCAATATTTAAGAAAGGACTACATGTGTAAAACAGGTATCATGTTTCCAATTTATTCTAGTGATATTTTAGTGCCCCTTATAGAATAGCTCCCAGACATCCTAGCTACCTCTTTACACTTAGCCCCCTTCTGATTAGGTGGTACAGAGTGAGAAGGACGATCCAAAGATGAGGCTAAAAAGGTAGACAGGAACCAGATAATACAGAGTTTTGTAGGTCATGAGAAAGAGATTACACTGTACCTTAAAAGCCATGGAATTGCTGAGAAGATTTGAAAAGGGAGAACTGTGAGGCTGTTTTTATAAACCAGGCTAGAGATGCTAGCAACTTGAGTAGCAGGAGAGCAGTAGGAATACAGTGTGGCATATACTTGAAAAGTAGTTAGGAGCTACTACTGACTAGACTTAGAGATAAAAAGAAGGGGAGAGGAGTAATTAAGGATAAGTCTTAAGTTTTAGGCTTGAGCAGTTGGTAGAGGAGGATAACACACACTGAGATAAGGTATAAAAGGACAATCAGGCTATGAAAAACCCTAAGTTCAGTTTTATACACATTGAGTTTTATACTTACAGTACATCAAAATGCAGGTATTTATAAATAAGACCAGGGGAGATTTAGGGTGAAGATAGATGTTGGCAGCCTCAGTACATAGATGGAATTCATGGGATGGATGAGAATACTTAGGGGAAGTATGTGTATAAAACAGAAATACATAAAGGAACCTAGGGAAGAGCCCTGAGAATCTCTTATATTAATGGTCTGAAAGAGGCTGAGGAGAAACCACCAGAGATAATGGAAGAAAAGCAAGAGTACACATCATGGCTTCAAGGATCTAATAAGTGGTCCAAAATGTCCAATGCTAGAAATAAAGAGAAAGAAAGACGTATTCACTAAATTACCAAGAAGTCATTTTTTATGAATTTGTTGAAACAGTTTTATTAAAGAAAGATTAATCCCAGCTGCAGCAAGCCATGTGAACAACTCATCACAACCGAATCTCAGATTCTTCATCTGTAAAACAGGAAAAACAAAAATACCCACCCTTCCTACCTTGTAGTTTTGTTATTAGGGTTAAATTAAATACTATAACATATGTTAAAGTTACTATATAAACAGAGGGTATAGACAAATGTTACTGTAACTGTGTTGTTCATCCTCCTGTTCACAAATGTCAGTTTTCTGTTCCACCCACATGGTTGATAAGTCACATTTGACTTACACTGGCCAATATGTGTATCAGCAGAAGTGGCTGACTGCTAGGCAAAAGCTGTAAGAAATAGTGCCTAGTTCAAAATGTTCTCTGTTCCTTGCCCCTGACACTGTAGAAGCATGTTTCAAAATGATGACTTCATCAGTCTAGATCCTTGAATGATTGCCATGAGGAGAGCCTGACTCATGCTGACATGTAGCATGGGGACAAATAATGTTTTTTTTAAAACACTACGATGTTGGAATTATGATACAGCAACTAACTGCAGCACAAATAACAGGTGAAAAAAGCAGGAAAGCCAAGAGGAAAATCCTATCTTAGGAGGTAATCAATGAGACATCACAGGGCCTGTCACCCACGCTAATGTCTAATTTTTATTTTATGGCACGGAGTAATTCACTAACCCTCACACTTGATTCAACATTCCTACAATTACAGAAAAGGTAAACAAGAACAAAGGTACATAATGGAATTTCTAATGAAGACATGGTGTTTGGGAAAGAATAAAACAGTCCATCAATGAGAAACCGCCTCCCCTATCACCATTATACTGTTGTTATTTGTACCCTAAATTTTCTTCACTCCTTAGTAAGCATACTTTGCATCTATGTTTGACTGGTTGTATATTTGTGTTAGGCCAAAGGCACACTGCCTAAGTGGGTTATTAGAAATGAACGGAAAATAGGAAAAGTAATCAGGACCACACTTAGGAAGGAGAAATTCTTTTATTCTTCAAATGCTAACAGTAAAAGTTACTGCTGCCAAACGCCAAATTACTATTTGATATGCCTAAAGGGAACATGTGTGCTGGAAAATGGCAATTACTCAGAACCAAGGCCAGAAGTAGAATCCAGGTCAGAGTGAGTCACAAGGACCCCACTGGACCAGCCTTTGCATCAAGAACACTGGAGTGCTCCCACTTCTTTATTCTGGCCTTTGTCCCTCTCATTAGTTTTGACAAACCATGAAAGAGGATCAAAACTGCTTAAATTCCAATGGAGCTGAAGTGAATTACATGAAAGAAACACTTAACCAGGGAGGTTTGTCTACTTGTAATCATTTTTTTTAAAACAGAGGAGAGAAACGGAGACAAAACACTTCCACAACTCTGCTTTTAGAAATGTCTTACGTGTCATTTTACAAAGCATCCAAGTAAATTAGTGTCATCAAAAGAGTCGGATCACCATCTTTTGCTCTAAAATTTTTTACTATTTCTAAATCAAATCCAATCCTGAACAATGAAGATTATACACTAAATTTCTTTGAAAGCACATATTGTAAACACTGAAGGCAATTTCACAAGGCTGCTCCCCGAATGGCTTATATAAAGGCCCAACATTTGATTAACTTAGCAACAGCTCAAGGTGACTCCTATGAGGAGGACCCATGCATTAGGATATACAAGCTCTGGAATGAAGTGTTGTATTCAACTTTGTGTCCCTTACTTTTTGTTCCTAAAGGACCCTTAATAAACAGTTGCTGAATTGAGTACAGGTAATAAGTGACAATGCCAAGACTTTTATTTTTATTTATTTATAAGACTTTTATTTTCCCAAACTCCAAATCAACCGTGTTTCATTACCCCCAATGCTGCTCCTTGCCAAGTAACTACTAGAAGTTTTCTATTACTTGAAACTGTGACTAGGTATTCTGTTGCCATGGTAATTTTCAAGTGGCTCTGCTAAAAGGGCAGAATCCATTAAATCGCAATGTGCTTATCTCACAAATATAACTACTATAACTAGCATAACAACTATTTTAGTCTTAAAAATTATACCTTTTAAGTTCAGCTGACTACTGCAATTATTATCCTAGCAACTTCAGCATGATAGGAGACAAGCTAAAAGTAAAGCATACTAAGTGGGCCTCTAGAAGTCTGGCTTTCCTCGCCTTTCTCCAGCTTCCGGATGGCAATGCCAAACACGGGTTAGTACTCGTCGATGATGGCCCAAGGGGTAAACAAAGACCAAGATACGCTTAATCTTCTCTGAGAGGGAGAATATTAACAAGGAAAAGAAAAGCTGCCTGAAAGAATCCTATATAAAATCACAGTATTTGCTATAAAATAAGCGAGAAGGCTTTAAAAGCGCAATTACACAGGCGAGGTGTTATGCACACGCTAATTCACAGGACCACTCTGGTCCGTGGAAGGGTCAGAAAACCTGCAGTGCAGTTGCCTAACTCCGCACCAGCACCTGAGGAAACGGGTGCTGGCAGCCAAAGCACACACCCAGTGGCGCAAAACTGCCGAGTCGAAGGGAGGGCAAAGGGATGAGGAAAGTTTATTCAGCGCTTCTGCCTCTAGTCCGGCGGCAAGAGCTGTCAACCCGCAACTCCGGAAGCCATTCAACCCAATTACCGGACTCAACTCGTCGCCCAAACCCGGAAGTTGCTACCCACCAAGATGGGGGGCGGGGACGGCGGGGTGGAGCCGGCGAGGGGCGGGGCCTGCAGTCCGAGAGCCTACAGGCTTCCCCAGCCGCAAGGTCGCGGCTGGAAGGCGGGCTGCTGGGTTCTGTGGAGGAGGGGGAGGGGCAGTGGGGTGGGGGGCGGGAGGGAGTCGGGGGACAGCACCAAGGTGGGGCTGTACCTGCGCTGGAAGTCCGGAGCGAAGGGCTTCAGGTACGGGTCTATCTCTAGAAGTCGGGGTAGTTCGGGCACGTCCGCTAAGGCAGCGGCCAGCGCCTCCTCAGAGCATTCGGACCGAGCCTCCCGAACCGGGTGACCCGCCGGAGCCGCCATCTTCCGCCGCAGCCCGAGTAGCCGAGGCCCGAGAGGGTCGAGTGCAGGGGGAACGGGAGCTCTAGCCGGGAGGACGCCCAGGCGAGCCGAGGCAAGCCGCGGGAGGCCCAGTCCCTTTATAGCCGGAGAGGACGGCCGCCCG